TGAAATTTTTAACTTTAGACAAATTGATTGGAACAATATGACAGGAAATCTTGAGTCTATGACTTTCTTGATATTTTTCCAAGATTGCTTTTTAAAAAGGGGTTTGTGCAGAGCCAATAGAGGAAACAACGTTGCGGGCTCTTGCCAACAAAGATTCCTAAACAAATTTTAACCCCCACATAGAAGAGAGGAGCTTACGACGACTTTTCCCGTCCGATTTGGGCCATTTACAAAGTCACCATCCAGAAGTGTGCGGACGGCTGTATATAGGAGGGAGGGTGTGTGGTAGTAGTAGTAGTGTAGTGGCAGTGGTAATTAATAATTTTGAGGTTAATGATACTTGGGGAGAGTGATCACAAATCACTTAGTTTCAATATATCGGGGAATTACCAGAAAACTGAAACAAATCTCGCCCCAGTTTTTCGCTTGGCCACTTCATGGGACTAAAAAATTTCCCGGGGGGGGGCCCAAATTGGGGTTGTCTGACTATGAGTCAGGTAGATGATTTCGTGCCAATAGATGTTTTTTAGCATATTCTAGCTGCCCTGACGTTTTGTTCCGAGGGGGGAAAATTAGATCAAAAAAAAAGATCCCAAAGGTTTAAAAATAGTTTAAAAACTCTCATTGGTCAAAAGGGCAAATAGGCGATCAAAAGAGGGGAGGGGGCATTAAAAAATCAGTTATTTAATTAAAGAGAGAAAAAAGGGAAAGGGAATAAAAAAAGCAACGGGATTATGGGGAAAGGGGACGCAAGGGATTCAAAGATACCCCAAAAAAGGGTTTTTTAGGTATACAGAAGTAGATTAGGGACAAGATCACTGGTCAGATCACTGACAGTGATAAGGAAAATACTAGCGAATTTCCAAATAATGATTATGTAGAACAGGGGGTTAATAAACATGGTCCCCAGACAAAAATAGAAAAAACTAAAACCTAACAAATCCCCCCGGTCCCGATGAACTGTTTGCAAGGGTGTTAAAGAATTAAAGAGGAAACTTAGCATACCTTTTCTAATCTTTTTAACCTATCCACAAACTGGCATAGTGCCTGTAAGGGAAAATGGGAAAAAGTAATACCTGTTTACAAGGGAGGGGACAGGGACTTGGGTTCGAACTTTGACCCAAAAGGGCCCTTTCCCCCATAGGGGAAAATTTTGGAATTAATAATTTCCCCAAGCAATTCTTTGCCATCTTGATAGGGAAGATTGAAAATGATCTCAAAAAACCCGGGTTTTTCAAAGGGGGGGTTTTGTCTAGCGAATTTACTAAATTTTTCATAGGTTTTTGAGGAGTGACTGGGAAAGGATAGATATTTGTTATGGACTTCAGTAAGGCTTCAATAGGTTCCACACCAAGGGGGTATTGAGGGGAAAATTAAGGCAACGGAATAGGAGAAATTTTTTCCTGGGGGGGCAGGCTGACAAATGGGGCAGAGAGTTTGCATAAATGGGAAAATAGAATGGGGGGACGTCACAAACGGTTTTCCCAGGGGTCAATGTTGGGCCGTTGTTGCAATTTACTAAAACGAAAATATGAGGGAAAAATGGGACATTAGCAAAAATTTTATGATGAAAACCCCAAATAGGCCCTCCAATTATTCTAATGAGGAAAAATAGGCATCGGATGTTTGAATGTGTGCAATGGTCGGGGAAAAATGGCAATCAGTTTAATACAGCAAATGCCAAAGTTTTAAAAGCGGAAGGGAAAAAAACCCTGCCACTATAAAAAATGTGAAGATCTTTACTCTGATTGCGAAAAAAAATTTTTTTTGGTTAGCATAAACTAAAAACAAGACAACAGTGCATTAGTGTTAGCAATAAAGCTAACAGAATTCTTGGCTTCATATCTAGAAGTATAAATAATAGAAGTCGTCAGGTTGTTCTTCAACTCTATATATCCTTGGTTAGGCCTCATTTAGACTATGCTGCTCAGTTCTGGTCACCGTATTACAGAATGGATATAAATACACTGGAAAACGTACAGAGGAGGATGACAAAGATGATCCCATGTATCAGAAAACTTCCCTATGAGGATAGACTGAGGGCCCTGAATCTGTACTCTCTCGAAAGGCGTAGAACTGGGAGGGATATGATCGAGGTGTATAAATGGGAAAACAGGAATAAATAAAGGGGATGTAAATAGCGTGCTGAAAATTTCCAGCCAAGACAGGACTCGCAGCAATGGTTTCAAGTTGGAAAAATTCAGGTTCAGGAAGGATATAGGAAAGCACTGGTTTGGTAATAGCGTTGTGGATGAGTAGAACAAACTCCCGAGTACAGTTTTTCAGGCTAAAACGTTGTGTAAATTAAAAATAGGTTAGATAAATACATGAGTGGGTGTGGGTGGGTGTGAGTTAGACCTGACTAGCTTCTGCTACTGTGTCTGGTGCCGTGCTCCTTCCTTGAGTGGGGGTGACCAGACTGGGTGGGTCATTGGGCTTATCCGGAAGGGGGGTCATTGTGCTAATCCGGGGGGGGTTATGGACCTGCTCCGCATGAGTCAGTAGGCCTGTTGCAGTGTTCCTTCATTCTTATGTTCTTATGTTCTAAACGCAAGGCTCAGGGTAAGATGCGAAACACAATGTTCATATGCATATATCTATTAAATATTTTAAGCTCCTAAGATAATATGAAGAAGTTAAGTTGTACTTTGCACATTAATTTCCATTTTCTCCATCATTCTCGAATCTTGATCTATGATAAACAGAAACTTATATATATGCAGAACAAGCCACATGTGGATGAAAATCTTTACCTGCAGATTTTTCGCACTCTCGTGCGTCAGGAGCTATGCAGTGGTACAAGACAGCAACAGATAGGAGGGAAAATTCTTTCAGGCAAGAGAGAAGGTATCAATCGCAGCCCATGACTGGGAGCGATTGTGTCATGGGCTGCCAGTGATACCTACTGCCTTGCCTCAGAGAATTTTCCCTACTATCTCTTGCAACATTGCAAAGCTCTGGCAATGCAAGAGTGAGAGATGGATCCATGTGCTTTGTTCTACCTTGTAAAGATCGCCTGTTTGCGGTTGTATTGGAATATAAATAACACTGCGACTAGCCGAGTGATCGAAACCGTGTTGTTTTAACCAGCCTCATGGTGAGCGAAAATTCACGACGCTTTAACCCAAGGGACCATACAATCTTACAAGAATCATGCATCCAGCAGAGGTAGGTGTTGTACCGTGATCCGAGGACATACGATGGTGTGGGTGAGAGCTAATTTCATTCTACTCCCCGTTTGGTGTACTATCATGCACAAGCAGTATGTATAGTATTTTAACCACGAACGAGTGGTATTTAATCAATAACAACATTGCGACTAGCCGGGGGATCGAACTCGTGCTGTTTCAGCCCGCCTCATGGTGAGCAAAAAATTCATGACGCTCTAACCCAAGGGACCATACAATCCTGCAAAAAACACACACCCAGCAGAGCTAGGTGTTGTACTTTGATCCAAGGACATGTATGTCGTGCCGAATAGGTAAAACTGGTCTATTAGCAAGAACTCATTTAAAGTTAAGTCCTTTCTACAGTTTTCTTTTATACGTTTCAAGATATTTTTTTCATTTATGTTAATGAAAATATTAATAATTTTGTACATAAAGAACATTAGAAAACTACCTTAAAATTATTATAACAAGCACAATTTATTTTAGCCTTGTCGAACTAAATATATTTTAGATAAGTTTGCAATAATTTAATAATAAACAAACACAATGAAATGTGTTTTTCGTTAGCTTCAGAATGATTTTTGCGAAATTATGGCGTACACAAATTTTCGCTTGCCTTATTCGGCAAGAAAAACATTGCTATTTTAACCAAAATAGCAAGTTTTACCTATATATATATAGTTTTACCTATAGAAAGTAATCAAACGACGAAACAAGTGGTACTCAATCATTTACCAAACTGCAGCCAGCCGGAATTAGCTTCTTCGACATATTCTCCCGTCTCAAAGATGCGGAACAACTGTCCGATTGCTTTAACCACTTGACCATCGATCTTTCAAAGATCAAGCACCCAGCAGTGCTAGGTGATGCTCGTGATCTGAGGACACTCGTGGTAGTGGTAAGCTCAAGGTTAATTTCAACCACCTCAAGTTTGAATACCAGCCTCCACAAGGGTTCAGTCCCCGGCCAGTCGTTGTAATGTATTTCCTTAAAACCACTTTGTTCAATAGAATACAACAATCAATTTATTTGTATCGTTGAATATGTTTGCTTTTCTCGAAGCTATGATACGAAAACATATTTTTCAGAGTGTTAAGTTAGTAATATTTGTGTCATGGCTTCTTCAGGTATATCTATATTGATTTCGTATGAGGCTTATTGGGATTTTCGTCTATGTGAATAGGTTTTCCTAAGTCTTTTAATCCTTAGCAGTAATATCACTGTTTTTGTTTTCAGAATATTTTTGTTGTTAAGGGATTTAGTGGCTTAAATAGTATGATAAAAATTAGTCAATTCCGTGACTGCAGCAATATGCAGATAACTTACACAGATGAGACTGGAACTTACGACATCGTTTCGGTGCAAATTTGACCATTAAATATTCACACCAAAGGAGAGGTCTCTGTGAAGCTTTGATTAGCCTGGAACGATAGACCAATAATACATCTACCTAATGAAATACCAACAACACTATCTGAAGTTTTGTGTCAAAGATTTCTAGAGAAGCTGAATTCATTAATTAGAGTTAAGACATCTTTCATTTTGTATTACAGGTATGAATTAACATATTTCCTTTAAATGAGAGATATATACCCCTATATCTCATCGAGTCTTTTAAGAGATGGTTTCTTTTCTGGCGCCACTCAACCTAGGTAGGAGATGGTCGTCGTGTTTAGAAAAAAAATCAGTCTGCGGGTGTAAGCAAACCATTTCTTTGCTTCTCCACTTCACTTTGTGACTGGGCAATTTGTCTTTATTAATACGAGGAATGGTAAAATATTAAAAATAAATTTCTAGGTGGAAAAGGTATGCCATGTAAATAATAAATTGCAGAATTAATTTTATTTTGTATGTATAGTACTCAGCATATGATTAATCAGTTTATAAATATATAAATGTTGTGAGATTCCATGTGACGTGACTCTTGATGAAAAGTAAGTTACTGAGGTGCTCCGTAACTGAAGGATGGGGCTGAAGCAGACCTGACACCAGCGGATTCGGCGCGGGCTAGTGCAGCGTCTTCCTCAGCAGCTTTAGCGATCTGGTCCATCACGAACTGAGGGATTGGGTGAGGAAAGGTAGGTGCGACTGGCAAATGGGAAGACTCCGGTTGGTAGCCGTTCTCGTCGGCGACGTACTTGAGCTCAAAGACGGTTCCATCGGGAGCAGTGTAACTATTATCGTTGGAGCAAAGGAGACAATAATTAATTCAATACCCATCACTATGTATGTTGGAGTGATTATTGTTCTGTGGCAGTTCAAAGTTCATATATTTTCATTACTTTGCTTCAAATTTAATTTGACAATATCACATAGCTATGAGATAAATATTTGATAGTTATTATGTCTTAAGTTGCCTTATATGTGGAGAAGACGGCCTAAAATTAATTAGTAATATACATCGACAGTGAATATATATATATATATATATTATATATATATATATATATATATATATATATATATATATATATATATATATATATTTTATATATATATATACATATATATATATATATATATATATATTATATATATATATATATATATTTATATATATATATATATATTTATGTATATTTATATATGTACAGAGAGAGAGACAGTCAGACAGAGAGGTAGAGAGAATTAATATAGTTGAATTGGTAAATATACTTACGCGTATTGACCAGATTTCACAACAGCACCTTCAGGACCATCAGGTGTGCCCGACTCGGAGAGCGAAATGCCATTACCAGTCTCTACTTCAAAGTTGTACCTCCCATTGTCATCCTGGACACGGTCGTCCCTCAAGATAGGAACCACCTCAACGCTGTCGACTGAGACAGCCCTGAAGGAGGGACTGGGGGCTCCATAAGTCTCGGGGAGGGGGTATTGGGGAGCGGCAACGGCAACGGCGGCCATGGCAGCGATAATAAACTGAAATATATGGTTGCAAATCTGAAATGTAAGTTCGGGGGAGCAAAAGTAAAAAGACACGTTTGGAAATTCAGTGTAAAAGAAGTATACAAAACATGCTGATTTTGGTTTAGATTAATAAATCATTTTGATTTAAAAATTTTCTTTTGAAATTATTTCCTTCTAAAATTATATCACTTGGACTGTGAATTAAGGAGAAATTCATGAAAAATGCATCATTCAGTTGTTTTCTTTCAACAGAAAAGTCTCAGATTATAAACATGGACCTTATTACTAATATTTTAAAATAATGTAAGTAATCTCATTAGAAACATCATGTTTATAGAGGTATGTAGTTAAAAAGTGAATAAATTAATAAATATAAATCCTGAAAACAGAAAAGGGGGGAAGTTGTGACTTAATGCGAAAATGAATTATGTAGTGAAGTTCAGTCACATGGGGAGTTTTATGCATTATCTACCTAGGTGGATAACAAAAAAGGCACAATACCGTGACTGGAACGATACACAAATAACCCGCACATAAAAGAGAAGCTTACGACGACGTTTCGGTCCGACTTGGACCATTGACAAAGTCACTCTATGTGACTTTGTCAATGGTCCAAGTCGGACCGGAACGTCGTCGTAAGCTTCTCTCTTTTATGTGCGGGTTATTTGTGTATCTACCTAGGTGGATTATGACATCACTTAGAAAATATATTAAAAATGCCTAACATAATATAGTGTGTAGTAAGACCGGCAGTGGGCTGAACTAGAGAGGACGTGGAAGACAGCACTCACAGACTTCATGTTGGGAGCGTTGAGATGCTACTGGTGCTTCGGGAAGGACGAACGCTGCTTAAATAGGGGTGAGCTCGCGCTCTGAACCACTTGCCAGTGCAAACTTGCCCTTGATCCGTTTGTCCGGCCCTTCACTGACGTTGTTATTTCCTACTCATATATTCAGGAATATTTCGAAAAGTAGTAATTTGTTCAAGTGTTTGATGTATATTTATTCTGTAGGTAAATCAAGCCACATAATTTACACTATAGTCTAATTTTGATAATATTAATTTATACTCATTTGTTAAATCATGTTATTCATGTGTAATTTATAGTGATCCAAATTATTTTGAGAAACAGTTAATTTTAAATTGTCTCTAATTAGAGAAGATAAATTATCAATATGTAATTCAGATATACATGAACAAACAAGAAATACACATAGGTGCTTACTGGAAAATCTTCTAAGTGAAATAGTGTAGAGACACATACAACGAGTTTGGAGATCTCTCGAACAAACAGATTTTTGGGGGGAAAAACAAAATCATTAAATTATTACCAGAGTATAAAACCAAATTTTGTTGATAGATCTGCGTTGTTAATAGATAATCAAAGTTTGGCCTACTATGATTACTACAACATATTATTTTTAAGCTTCTTCTTCTTCTTCTTAAATATTCGCCGGTATTCTCCCGGCCCGGGCCTTTTCCAAGTGGTGGCCCGGCCTTGGCTCCCTCTTTAGGGAGTGTCTGAGACCTAAGTCTCCCATGGGAGGAGGCACAAGTACCTCCTCATCTTTGGGACCAACTGTCCCCAGGCCTAGCTAGGCCTCTCTGGTCTGTCATCCCCGCCTCATGGGGGCAAATGGGAATGACAGTCTTGTGAGCTAAAGGCTCGGGCTCAGGCACCTACCCTACCCTGGAAGGGTTAGGCATGGTGTCGATCTCATTTTTAAGCTTTCAAATAATTTAATTAACTTGTGTAATATGAAAAAAAATCGGGAATATGCCTATTTTATATAAAAACGATTTCAAATACTAATCCATTTTTTTTTTTTAAATTTCCACCTGTACTCTGAAAAATATAAACAAATATTCCTAAAACATGATAATATGTTAATATAAAAGCTAAAGTCAAATAATAGATTAGCGGGTACTGAGTACGCTCGATCTTCCAAACAAAGATTTTTCCCTTCCTTATACTCCATCTCAAAGACGTAACGAGGAATGAATATGGTAGAAAGTGGATAGATAGAATGGAACGCAATCTTCACAAGCATCAATACTCGTTCCTAGCGAGGATCCCAAAAAATGTGTTATGAAAGGAGATTGTTTTTTTTGTTCAAAGTTTTGTGGCTTACAAAGCATTGTGCAAAGCAAAGTATTGTGCATTCTTCTCCGTCATACCTGGGGCAGGCTCCTCCTCACTTCAGCTGACTTTATTCCATCAGTAACATACTTATTTTTACATTCTAAATAAAATTACTACCTACGTTCAGCATTAATTCTTAAATCATATATTTAGAGTTAAAATGTTATATATCGGCAAACTGAGTAAGACGGTGAGTAAACACAAGACACAGGGTAAGATGCTAAACACAAAGTTCATATGCATAATTTATTTTTTTTGTACTCCTAAGATGACATGAAGAAATCAGTTGTACGTTCCTTTCCCTTATCTCCTTACTTCTCTACACTTGATCTACAATAGGCACATGCATTCACATTATCACATTTTCAAGGAACTACGTAGTTCCTTGATAGTGTGAGAAGTCACGAAAGCACTTGGAATTTCGTTATTTTTTTCACAGTGGTTTTGGATATATATATATATATATATATATATATATATATATATATATATATATATATATATATATACATCTCATATATATATATATATATATATATATATATACAAACATGACTTTAATTCCATAAAAGGAAAACGTATATATATATAAAGAGAGAGAGAGATGTGAAATGCTTAACAATTCGCAAACAGGCGAAATTATTTACAAACATTGTCTCTACGCCCACAGCAAGACTCGAACCTGCTAACTCTGTATCAGAGTCCACAGTACTTTACCACGGAGCTAGACTCAAGGTAAGTATAGGCGCTTTGCCGAAGCTAAGCGATGTTACCCCATACCCCCGGGCACCAAGCTCGTTTTTATATTTCATATATATATATATATATATATATATATATATATATATATATATATATATATATATATATAATATATATATATATATATATATAGGGAAGTAACCACCTCTGTGGCTGGAATGGGGACCCTCATCCTCAGAGAAGACAATAAACGTACCTCAGGGAAAACTCAAGGTTCTCCCCGGAGCTGTTTGAATATTTTCTTCTCCTACCACCCCCTATATTTATATCTATGTGAACATTTATTAATAAACAAAATACATTTACAGAAAAAAAACATAAACATGAATACAATGGCACAATGTATCAAAGATGATGAATTTCCTCCAGCTCCTCGAGGCTGGACGTGAACCAAGTATGCAGCAAGCATTTCCCCTCTGGATGGCGACGCTGAGGTGCTGGAACATGAAAGTGGCTGCCCTTGGGTCCCTGGTGGTGTCGATGAGTCTGGAACCCAATTCTTTAAGGAAACGTGTGGCATTTTTTCCCCATGATCCCAAGGTCTCTGATCCCACTGGGACAAATTGATACTGTTGGCTAATGTCCCTGTACTTGCTGATCTTGTACTCCTCCCTGTGGTCAGCAGCTCCTCCCTGTCGCCCCACACTGTGCTGGATATAGGTGTCAGCCAGTGTGGACACACAGGTATAGTCCCATGCTAAGAGCTTGCCATTCTTCCAAGGATAGATGGTGATCCCGTCGGGGCGGTTTGCTGGGTTGTGGGTATTGTTTGCTGCAAGTGATCGTGGCTCCCTCTCGGCAGGGCATCCAGCTGTAGCAAGGGTTCTCTTAATGATGTCGTTGACCTCATTGTGTCTTGCATGCCAGCCCTTGGTTTTGGAACAGTTAAGACCATGTAGACCGTATTGGTCTGCTTGCACTTCGCCGCAAATACACATATATTCTGTGTGAATTGGGGCAGCAAGGCGCAGAGCCACTGCAATATGGAGGGTCTTAGGGTCGAGTCGCGTTCCCATT